TTCCACAACTTTTTCTCATAGAAAAGCTGCAGAATATTTATTCATTTAACATAGCTAGTCTTTATGACCAAAAAGTAGCACCAAGCCATCAGATATAATATCTTCATCTTTGCTATTTTTATATTCAGAAATTAATCGATTTTGAGGTTTACTTTCTCGCATTCATTTTTTTGGCTCCCAAAAGCATCAAAGACTTCCAGGACCTTTCTTGTGTTCTCAAGTATTTTTTGTATCCTCAGTATTTTAGGCTGTTTATGAACTCATTTTAAAAATTCTAAAATGAGAATTTCAATATACTGCTTGTATTAATACGAGAAGTTCTTGCTCCATGTATATGAAAGGACATCACAGCAAAACTCATCCCAAACTGTCCTTATTGCCTTTACATCCATCACAAATCTCACAAAGTCATGGTATTTGGAAAGACTCATGATACATGAAGAGAATTATGTGTTAAGTAATCAGACTCACAAAAGTTCACATACCAAGTCTGACCATGGACCACCAAAGAGAGTCAATAGGGAGCTCAAAAGGGGGTGATGTCTGTGTGTTAAAACAATTCCTTTCCACCACGTAGGGCCCCACTTGCACAGTGGGTAGATGAGTTGGCAGAATTTTAGGTATCTAAATCATTTCACCAGTAAAACTTTGGCATCTGCATCAGCTGAGATACCAAAGTGAATTAGTCAAGATTTTGTAGATCACAGTTTTTTTGATCTTGGCCAGCTAAACATGAAGTATATCACTCTGGATTTGAGGTTTTAGATGTTTTTTTAACAGGGCTGGCCATTTGCCTTGCTTTGATTTCTCAGTATGCGAGCTAAGGAGAGGCTTCAAGGTGTTTGAAGTTTACTCCCAAAGATCTATCCAGACCTTTCAACATGTCCAAGAGCTTTGGAAAGGAAAGGATTGCGTCAATATTTGAAGGTTAGAATTCGTATGAGTCCCAGGTATAGCACTTGGCAGGGTGTTGGAATGAGATGAAAAGGAAATCACCAGCTCCCTGACTTTATTCAGTCTGTTTATTTGCCTGTATGAAGCTGGCATTAGTTATTCAAAGTGGTGTCTTTATTTGATAAATGTGCTGGTTTAGCCTTGGTTGGCTTGGGGGCACTTCACATTGTAGCCATTCAAGCTGACTCTTCTCTGTCTCCTCACTGACCAGAGAGTTGAGTGGAGCCAACATTGGAAAACAGACTCGGCCAAATGGGGATTTGCCTGTGGCAGCATTGCCAGAGCCCTGAAAGCTGGTCCTGCTCTCGCTGTAACTGGGACACCCCTAACACAGCAATCTCCTCTCCCACATTCAGTGCCACCAGCTCCACCTCTCCAGGGGAATGGGGTCCTATCAGTGTCTTTGGCACAGCCAAATTCAGGTCTGCCCAGACTGCCATGAGCCCTGGGCCTCCTCTAAACTGGTGTATGAACAAACACTTCCCTCCACCCTATTTTCCTTGTTTTTTACAGCAGCAATCCCAGAGCCACAGGCCAGTACAAACCATTGTATCATCAGTTCTGACCCCAGAAATAATATAGGTTGCAGTTTGCTCACCCATTTGCCTTTCTAGCCTAATGTTTGGTTTTATCAGTTCCTTAAGCTACCAGAGTTGTTAAGCCATTACTGCATCAGGCAACAGGTAGGAACTTTGCAGATGGATTGTAGTAAATTTGGGAAGTTTTTCTAATGAAGCGTTCCAGTAGTAACGTGTTCTTTGTTCTCCCTTTCTTCAAAGAGCATGAAGTTAGTGAATGGGCTTTGACTGTGTATTTTGTTAGTATGTCACAACCTCAGTGTCCTTTTAATTGTGTAGGAGCCTTGAAAAGTGTGTTATTTAGATGCAGTGCTGAATTTGAGGGAAGTATGAAGTGCTTTTCTGGACTTTAGCACTGTCCTTTTTCACACCTAACAAATGCAAAGCTATTAGGAGACAGCTCTCCTGGCATGACCCAACGTACAAAGAAGTGTTAAGAAAAAAGGAATCTTTCCCAGTAGGCAGAACTATCACAGCAGTTCTGATGGCAGAGCATCAGTGTTTCTTTTTCTGTTCACATTTCAAATGCATCTGTCACTGTAGTATCTAGGAATCAGTAGGAGAGCTAGGAGGACTGAGATTAAAGAAACTGATCTGAGCTAATTTAAATACTGCCTGCATTGATGGTCATGCAATTTTTGGCCCAGGCATTTGACAGGAAGAGGGGACAAGGGTACATTTCAGTATTTTTTACCAAAAAAATGTTAAGAAGATACAGTAGGAAAATATAGTCCCATAAATTTGGGTTTTTTCAAATTGTCTATGTATTTAAATCCATAGCTAAAAACATCTCAAGAAACAAAGTAACAGAATATTATTAGTACTTCAGTAATTTTTGGTATCAAGCAGGGAGGAGGACCTTGAAACTTGAGCTTCCACCACACACTTATTAGGTAATTTTTAATGCATCTTGTGGTTTCATGAGATCTCCCAGAAAGAGAGACATTCTTGAACTCAGAATAAGTTTACCAGCAGTTGAAACTGGTTAAATTACAAGTGTGCTCTAAAGTCAGAACACAAGCAATATCATCATCTGACCAAGCTGTAGTCATTTGAGTATCTGATGTTCAAGTTGCAAGTAGCTGGGTGCTGTGCTAGAGAAAATCAGATTTTCAATCCTCTCTTCTCACTCTCCAGATTGGTGTCTAAATCTGGGAGTTACTCCCACACCTTACATAGTCAGCCTGCCATGGGGATGCTTATTAAAGGGAAAGTTGCTCTGCTGTAGATCATTCATATCCTTCGTGCTCCCCAGATGTAAAACATTATAGAGGCTGAATTACACTGTATGTTTACTGTCTTCTTCAGTGTTTCAACCATAAAGGAAAGAGAGCTAGTAACTGGCCTTAGATTGTAATATTCTGTCTATTTGTGTAGGACTGATACTGTATGAGGAAGAGATATGCAAGTCTTGGTCTTCAAGATCCCCTTTCCTATTTGCCAAGAAGAAATCTTAGATTTGTTTTAATGAAATATAAGCTAAACAAAGCTTTGCTCAGAAGATGAGTATTTACTAAATAAATTCTAAAGTAGGAGATTAGAACAAATATGACTCACATAGAGCAAACTTAAATCCTACACTGGGATAAACACTTCAAAACTAAACTCCATTTAAAACAAAAAGACAACATGAGTTTATAGGAGCCTCAGTTCCACTGAAATTTGTGCTTTTAAATCTCTAAGAAGTTTAAAGATGTACTGTAGGTGAAAGAAATGAACAAGAAACGAGCTACAGAATAAATCTAAAATGCAGTCTGCATGTAGGAGTTTCTCTTCTCCCGACACACAGAATTTCAGTTGCAGTCAGTGAAGTCATAGGTATGTGGGAAGACTGAAGAGTCTTATACCACAGCAGTGGTTCCCAACCGACGAGCAAAGTAGCCACTGTCACTTAACAGACTGAGTAGGTAATGCCAAGGAAGCTCAGTGGAAAAGGAGGCAAAATATGTCAAGAGAGGAGGGGAAAAACCCCAAACACAAAACCCCAAATCAAACCATTCTGCTAAGCCAGCTTGAAGATGGCTATTGTCTGTGCAAAATGTGGGATCTTGGAAAGGTCAGGTGTTATTATCCAATGAAAATGTAGAGTGCATGGAATAAAATGAATTAGTTGTTGCAAAGCATCTAGACATTCTGGGAACTGAGCCAGTAAGAACAGCAAATGATCAAACAAAAATAATGCTGAGTTCTAGGAGAAAAATGTGAATGTTGCTGTCTTACAGCATTTTCACATAGCTCAGACAGCAACAAACAAGATGCAGAGCAATGGGTTGTAAATGCACTGTAAAGATTTATTTGCTTAAGCTGGGAGGTGGTGGGATCTGTTGCAATGTACCTCCATTCTTTGAGGAGGAAACTTCTGCTTTAGCCTGCTGGGGGGAAAGGGACCCTTCTTTTGAAGGCATCAGTGAAATAAAACGTTGAGGTGCAGGGAACATCATCTTCTCTTTGCTGGCATCAGTCTGCAATATCTTACTCTTTAAAGTGTCACTGACTCACTGAAATGTATTTTGTACACCCCCTCAGCTTAGTCTTATAGCTCACATCAGTAGATTTCCTGGGTTTAGGTTGAATTATGGCTCTCTGGGCTGGAGGTTCTCATTTTCAAGGAATTAGAGCTTGTCTCCAAAACCCCAACCTTTCTTCTTGCAAACCAAAGCTCAGCCGGCTGAGTCACACGATGAGCAAGGGGAGCATGGCAGCTGAGGGACCACTGATGAGGCTGTGTCCTGTCAGACAGGAGTCTCACCAAATGATATGGCTCCATGCTGCTGGGCAACAGGTCACAACATTTTGCAGAGACACCAATGGAACTATGGAGGTGAACGAGGTGGGGGGAGCAGTTCTGTGCCATTGTTGTGTAGCTTAGGTTTGGAGTTTCTGGGATCACCCAGCCTATGAACGAGATAATGGCTCCACCTATTTAAAAGAAACAGATCCTAAGCCTCATTGAGCAGTGTAAAAAAGGTGGCTGATTGCTCATACAGTGATTTTCCAGTTGCTTTGGGGATAATTTGGCATAGAAATATCTCCTTCATTTTGACGGGATTTTACAATAATTGCTTCACTCATTAATAACCTCAGTCCCACTGACCCTACCAAGGACCCTACCATTGTTTGGAAGGAGGAAAGATACAGTGGAAAACTGTTTTCAACATCCTTTCCACAGACTGGAAGATAATTGTTAACACACTTTAAACTTCCTTTCCTTTCCTGAAACTGCAGAACTGTGGGTCTAGATATCTGATTCCTCACCTAGCCAGTGTTGAAATGTTCAGGTACCACAATAAAAAGGGCATATATTTACCTAAGATAATACATAAATTCAAGGTTCTCTTAGACCTCCATTTTCAAGATGTGCCTTACACTCATTAATTTAATGTTAATTTGCATTTAGCAGCCCTAATGATTATATAGGTCAAGAAAACTAAAATATCTTTGTTCTCTGGGGTTTTCTTATCTCCTTAGAGTACGCTCGATTTGAGGCAAAAATCCATGACCTGCGTGAGCAGATGATGAATCACAGCATGAGTTCTGGGTCTGGCTCCCTGAGGACTAATCAGAAGAGGTCACTGTATGTCAGGTAAGCAGGAAGAGCCTTCTCCTGGGAATATGTCAGCAGCTACCTTGCCTGTGTCTGACTTGTGTTGGTTTGGCACGGTGGGAAAGAAGTCTGAGGAACTGCTTTGAAATGAGCTGAGAAATGCATCCATCCTACAAGCACAGCATCATTAATGAGGAAATCGGATAAAAGCCCTATTTGCCCTATTTGACCATTTCAAGTAATGTGCAAAGAGCATTACACTTTTATAGTGATTTGGGTTTATGAAATGAACATTTCTTAGCTCTGTCAATATCTGAGATGGATACTGTGGAGTAACGACACATTGTGTTTCTGTGTGAGGTCCTGCCCAGACATGGAACGAGTGTTCTCAGGAAGAGCAGCTTTGTGCCAAAACCTTTTCCTTGCAAAACACAAACTCCTATACGCTATTCTAAATGCATGGCAGTCTGCTACTATCCGCTCACATACGTTTACCCTTCTATCAGCCTCTGCTGCAAAAAATTTGCCATCTATGTAGCAAGACCAAATGTGCAGATGAGATGGTAAACAAGCTGCTATCCATAGCTTAAATGGGGTGGTGAATAACAAAGGAATTACCTTTGGCACATGTTGGGAGCAGTGGTTGTAGTTTCACCTTGACTGTATGAGTCTGTTGCCAGAGTGGGTATTGCCCAATTGCCCCAGCAAAATTCTTGCTGTCACTCTCCCCTTTTGGGACTCATGGAGACTATGGCACTCTGTCAAGTATTTTAATAATCTTAATAATTATGCTTCTCTAGGCTTTCATTTTCATTCTCCCCTTTGTCCCCTCTATGGTCCCCATGCTCAGCATATAATTTGAAACTCCTGACAATCATGAAGTAGAGGGAAGCAATTTGTCAGCCTCTAGGCAGTGATAATTATTCACAGGGGAGCTAATTCAGGTGATAACATTGCAGAGATCCAATTAAGGCTAAATTCTACATTTTGTCATTATGCTCTCAGCGTGAAGGAGTAAGGTAGCAGAGAAGGAAGGGAAAATTTTAATGTTAGCATGAAGGGTCTTGTTCTAATGGGCAACAACCACATGGAGCACTAATTGGTACTGCTGTCAGAAAGAGCAATGACTGAAGGGAGATGGATCACTCTTACCAGTGATGTTGCTCTTGGGCAAGGTCAGATTAGAAGTGTTGAAGTTTTCAAGGCATCTCTAATCTTCTCTGACCTCAAGCAGGATTTTTCCAGACCAGAGTGACTTCGTTGTCAAGAGCTTTGGTCAGCTCCCTGCATTTGCATTTTATGAAAAGCTACAATTGTGTGTGCAAGGATGGATGGATAGATCCAAGCTTCCTTTCTTGAGATAAGCCAGGAACCCAAAATGTTGGGAGTAATGGTGTGAGAAGGCCAAGCCAGCAACTGCAGGTTAATTGAGGTGTACACATAAAGGGCTAACACCAGGATCCTGAACACCTTACTGAAGTTTGAACAGCAACAAAGCTTGATCCCTCCTATATGGGCATTGACCTGGGAAGCTCCGCTGAGAACAGAGGCTTATTAACTTGCACTCTGAGCCAAGCTGAGATATCTGTGCTGCATCTGGACTAGCCTAGCTCTTCTGCACAGTATTGCTCTGTGTGCACTGATGAGCCCAGTTTTCTGCTAGTTCATGAATTCTGGCTGTGATCTGTCTCACTAAGCTGCTATGCCCTGGTGCTTCACTGCAGGAGCCTTTGATGTCTTAGCTGCTTATCTAAATGGCACTTCCCAAACCACGAATGCAAAACCTGTTCTTTTATTCCACAGTCGTTCCAAGAAATGCCCCAAACCTCTGAAGCAGAAAGCCACAAAAGCCTCAGTCACTTTTGTTAGTGTTTACTTTTTTTCTCAAACCCACATGGTTGGCTGTGTCCACGTCTGAGCAGCCTGTTTGAGAGGCTCTGTAGCTCACATATTACCATAACGTGTTTGTAGTGCAGTAGCACCTGCAGTCTTGTGCCTGTCACTGTCAGTTCAATTCACATGCACTAATTACAAAGGTAGTTTGTGTCTATGTTAGGCACTCAGGAAAAATAAATGTGGGCTCAGAAACGTACTTGTTTTAAGAGATGAAAATTTCTCATTATGGATACTCTTTACAGGCAAGGCCCATGTAAAAAGCTAGAATCTAGCATTTGGTTTCTATTCTTACAATTCAAGACATTTCTGTTTCAATGGATTATTTTAGTCAGCATGTGCAAGAGAGCTAGAGGCAAATGACCATATGTTGTTGTAAATCTCTAGCTGTAATGCCAAGTTTATGATTCAAGTTTGCTGTTTTCCTTTCTTTGGGATATAGTGATTTTGCTGTCCCTCACTGAATATGGCAAGTATGGTTATTTTTTAACCAGAAAGCTTAATTGAAGGAAATCACTATATTCTAGGCAACACAAGGAAATCAATTAAGATCCAGATAAGTTGTAATAGTTGAAAATAAGTGTCATTACCTGCTCATAGAAAAGCCAACAAAACAGGATGAGAAAAAGTAAAGCTACAGTTGTGCCAGTGGATGTGGGGTTTGTTGGATGCAGGGATTTCTTCTTTATCTTACAGTCTGTGATTTCCCCATCCAGCCCCTACTAAAAAAACATAGCACTGAGATATGTGAAAGAAGCTATATTCAGTTAAGTGAGACAAAATGTAGTATAGAGTTAAAGGGTTGAATGTAGGACCATAAGTAGGTGGCTAAAAGCAATTAAAAGTCTCACTTCAGTAGTTGTAAACAACACAGGAAGGAAATCAAGATTTCCTTGTTCAGAGAAATTGTGTAGCTCTCTGGCATGATCTTCTATCTCTGCTTACTCTGGTATTTCAGATTTGTATTAATTTTTTCTTTCTTTTTTTCTATCTGTCTCTCTGACACCTCCTGGAATATTTCCCATTAATTTCCTGGATTCTTTTTTTCAGTATTGTCTGTTGCTTTTTTATCGCAGACCCTGTGTCTCTGTTTGGGATGTCATCAGAGAGTCCACAACACTAAAGGCAAAATATGAGTCTCCAGGGAAGAATGGAGCAGTAGGAAATATTTCTAGTCCTTTTGGGAGCTCACAACCTCTTTGTCACTAAATGTGTTGAGGAAAAGAAATACAGAAAGAAATGCAGAAACTGGGAGAATGGATAGGAAACATAGAAAATGTTATTATTCATGCTTTATTTGGTGGTGAAAGAATTTAAATTGAATTCACTAACTGCAACAATAGGCTAAAAAAAATCTGCTATTATCATTTTTAAGTCATTGGAATTCAGTCATCAGCTCATGATCAACCAGTAGAATAAACAAACACATCACCAGCTACACATTGTGCTATATACATGCATAGCAGGGCCTTATGCAAATTCAGGTCTTCCTTTTTGTCTTTTTAGCTCAAGGTTTTAAAATCTGTTCTCGTAAGATTATATATTTCTCTGTCTTGGTATAAATACATGCTTTGCTTTGTCCTTCTAGGTCCATATCAGTAGTCAAATTTCTAGGTTACATATGGGTACTGTTGCTACTCCTAGGAAATGCCAGATCATGTTATTTAACTCACAGGCTATGGAACATAGCCTTTTGAAGAGTTAAGCATCAGAGAAATACAGTTCTTTTAAAAGTTTGGTGAATTGGAGTCACTGAAACTTTAACTTCCAAACTTTGGACAAAACAGAGCTTAAGCAGTTTTCCTGTTGTTTTACTAGATTATTCCTGAGCTTAAAGTACTTGTGTTAGATCTGAGGATAAGAGTAGATGCTTCAGTAATTGCTACTGCACATGAAAAGAAAAGGTTTTATGGAATTATCTGGCACCCAAACTGCCATCTTAGTGTCTGGTGTTGGTTTACAGATGAAAAGTAGTGAGATACGCTTAGCATAGACAGTCACTGCACCATTCAAGCTTTATTCAAACCAGACAACTTCTGAAATAATGTTTATATTTAAAAATTCCAGTTGTCTAAAGCCACAAGCAGGCACCGTGGAGGTGTATTGCTCTGCAGAAATAACTCTAAAGCTTCACACCCTCCAACCCTTTCACTGCCACTTCTCTGTTTAAAGTCTGTTCAGTACTGTCAGTGAGGTGATTTCACCTCATCAGGGCTCCTTGTTGCCATGTATGAAGGGTTAAGTTTACTGAAATGCAGCTGTTTCAGCCTCTGCACTACTTTCAAATATATCAGTACAAAATGAATGGTACAGTTGGCTGTAAAGGTGGGGATGGAAATCAGGGCTGGGACAGGACTGGATCCAGCTGCAATGTCAGAAGAAGTTCTGCAGCTGCCTCTCCACTGTGCATGGAAAAGCATTGCAGTGGGAAGTGAGCCCACTGTTCCAAGGCTCTTCCCAGTAAGATGAAGATGCTTATGATCAACCTTTTTATTTCCAGCCCTTTTTATTTCCAGTCCAGTCTTTGCACAGTGCACATTTTATTTTATAAAAACTGTGCATGGTGCAAAGGGGTGCCTCTTAGTCCACTACATTTTTCTCTTCTTCTAAATGGAATTATTGCAAAGCATTTCATAGCTGTGGTGGATATGGGCCATACAAACATGCAGTATTATGTGTTAAAAATGTGTGTGTTCTGGTTCATTTCTTATTGAGCCATGAGGAAGAATCTGGAGATTTGCCATCACAACTTAGCTCAGCAAAAGGGAAGTCAAGGCTGAGGTACTTTGGGTGGTTTACTCTCATTCCGAGCACAATGAACTCTCCATTAGGTATTAGACACCTTTACACAAATTTCCTGAACTTAGAAATTAGCATGTTGCCATTCCATAGAACCATGCATGGTTTGGGTTAGAAGACACTTCAAAGACCATCTGCTTTGAAACCCCTGCCATGGGCTGGGACATCTTCCACTAGAGAGACTTTAATTTTCAAAAGACCACAGAAATTCTCAGTTTTGAAGTTTTCAGAGGTACAATTGAAATTCATTTGAGGCAGTTTGTGAAGATTGAGTCTGATATCCAGGGCTTGTTCCATGCAATGTCTGTTACAACCACCTTCAGTCTCCCTGTCTTCTTTGAGGCAGT